TTCATGTGCAAAACACACTCATCAGTAATCCCATACGTGGGCGCGGGTTTCTCCATGCTTCATGCCAAATCTCTACCCATTTTGATCTTGGTATCTTGTAATATGTCCAATGCTTCTCATTAATATAATTATTTGAACAACGAAATTATAACAGAAGTACCTTCATAACATACTCATTCCCACAATATCGACATCTTTCCATATTCGTTCAACTAAGAGAATTCACGCCACAAAGTACCGTATTTCTAGTCAACGGACCCTAGCGACGAGGCCAGATCACATAGTCAATATTAATGCGCACAAGTTAACACAAGTCTAGCTAACCCTTTTCTAGATTCTCACTTTAATTTGTAATTTGTTTGTTAATCACAATGCACAAGATTGTAACTTTGTATCAAAAGTGAAAATAAAACACAAACACAAAAACGTCAAATAATGTAACAGCTCATGATAACATTTATTCTCTAAATAACTTGTTTCATAGAAGAAGATTGGACTTTAAAGGTAAACAAAACCCATATCTCCAATACATGAAATTAATGCTCTAATTAAGACAGACATCTATCATTTATTTGTTCAAACATTATTCAAACCAGTCCTCACAAGAACGAAAAAAGAAAATTTATATTGAGCAATACAATTTAAACTTGAAGAAAGTGCATGTGTGTGTGAATGTATGAAGCCATTTTGTGCCGTTAATACTAACGGAAGAAAGGCGAAACGGCTAATTTCATCATCCCAGTTTTGCAATGAAAGCCGTTGCGTTCACCACAAGCAAAATAATAAGGCTGCCATCTCTTAAGCACAAACTCAAAACCTTCTCCTCCTCCTTGTGTCACTTGTGCAATCTTCTTTGCTCTTCTCAAATCACAGTTTTGGAAACTCCAGAAATCCGGCAGTAGATATACACTGTGAGGAAATGTGGTGTCTTTTGGGGGATCAAACTTGAATACTACACGCATGCAACAAATAAATATTAGTTTCTTAGATATTGGAAACAATAAGCAAGATATAACAAAGTTAACCTTTTAATATGGACTAACTATTCGACAATATTCTAACTCTGTATGTGTTAAATAATTGACATCTCATGATTTAAAACGTAAACACGACAATGAAATGGCAACATACCGAGTGTGTCATTCAAGTAAAAGGGGCCATTTTTGATAGCCCAATCAGTATAATTAAATCCAAAATGCCAATTCTCAGAACCGCCAACTATTATTCTTTTCGAAGTTTGATTTGCATTCCAGTGTCCATAAGGCCAGCCTGCAGTGTGATTCCAGTTTCCATTCCAATCTGCACTGAAATTCTTGTTGGCCATTCCAATGCCAAACATGGATATGGCCACAAGAATTACAAGGGCTCCTGCATTTCCCAAACCCATGTTATTTTTTCCTCTCTGGTGAATGTACGTGTTGATGTATTGAAGAGGTTGTATGTGGCATTTTATAGTAAAAGTTTGTAGGAATTAAGTCAAAATACATGTAAGTTGGCAGAAATCAGACAAAAAAGTTCTTTCTCTTAAGTTGGTTGGTAAGACTGAAAATTATTAGTGTAAAAGGTTGAAATTTTTAAGTATATTTTCTTGCATTTTCCAGGTCAACATCCACTTAGGTTGCAATTTATCCTATTTAGTATGTAAGTTTCCTCCATTTATTGTGATAAAAGTAAACAAAAATCCCACAAGAGTCACATAGAATGGTTCAAGAAAGAATGCTACCTAAGCATTCTTGCTCTACCTACTTTAATTAAATATGAAGGAAATTTGATTCGTTGTATAAATTTGATCTCTTTAATATTTTTTGGCATTCATTCTTTAATCTAAATATTACGGAGTGATGAGATTATATGAACCAAAAACAAAAAAAAAAGGTTTGAGTCACGTAGCGTGACACAAGTTTAAATTGAATTGTTGTAGAATGGCTTGTATGGAATGAAGATTTACAATTACCGAAAGCTTGAAACATGCCCTGTTCGATATAAATTAAAAATTTCTAAGGTAAAACCTCGATAAATGAATGTTCTATAAATTAATAATCTTGCTTGGGCCAACATACTAAACTAATAACCTAAATGTATAAGATAATAATTTTTTTGAGATCATTTAAGGCCCAACAAATACATAACATAATAAGAGCTCGTTGGGAGAGATTTTTGAGGGAAGAATTGATTTTGAATAGTGATATGATGGGAAATGTGTGGTTGAAAAGAAGAAAAAATTATTGATGTGATGGAAAATATTATTTTATTGAAGAATGTGTGGTTGAAAATGAGAATTGATTTACTGTAGAAAATGAGAATTTGTACCAAACAAGCCCTAAATACATTGAAAATATGTCATATGGATTAGTATTTTTAATTAATATAGCATTGTACAAAACATTGTATAACGGCATTTCAAATTTCATGCATTATTAAGATAAAAAAAAAATATGGACTTGTGATTTCATCCATCAGGATCTTTGCAAAATTCACTATATTGAGATTCGTGCATTATATATTACGAATTCATTTTTTCTCATTTCATTATCTCATAAGTATACATTTTTAGTAGGACCATCTTCCTCATTAATCTCATTTTCTTTCAGAATTTTTTGTGTTAAAATCTAATAAATCACGCTTTAGGCGTAACATAAAACTATCAAATATAAAACAAACAAACTGTCCTCTTAGGATGTTAATTTAAGTTGAAGCTTTTAAATCTAGTGCGTAAGATATTGTTAATCTCTTTGATCAGTGAATGCATTTAAATGAATTATCTTTATGAGGATCTAGATAATATAATGATGCATTTTGTATATTATTTCCAAGTTCTTAATTCATTTCCCTAATGCTGAGAAAAAGGTCCAATCAAATAACAATCGGTAAGCCACATCAAAAAAAAAATCACCAATTAGGGCTTAAGATATTTCATAAGGGTTCAAACTACGCATTTATTCGTAGCATTCTTTGCTTTCTATCTTAGTGCATTATGGTGGATCAATTGTACATATATTGCACTATCAAAATATTAGACTTTTGACCATAAGTCAAATATAGTGGGGGAAAACTTTGGCGTTGGCATGATGTTAAAAAATTTTCTACATATAAATAGTATCACCTAGATAGAACTTTGTTCTCAATAGTGATGGTTTANAAAAAAAAAAAATAACTGAAAATGGAAAACAATGTAAACATCGTTTTGTAAAATTTCAGCCCAAACCCACTGAAATTAGAAAACACGCGAAACGGGTTCTCCTCTCACTCAACTCTCTTACTCTCCTTCTCACCGTCACTCTCCCTCTCTCTGCAAATCCATCTCTACCCCATCCGAAAAAAGTAGGATCGCGTTGGCCGGGGACGAAGGATTGTTCGACGGGATCTTCGAATTTTGGGGCTGTTTGTTCCAGTGTCGCCGAATCGAAGCCTGAAACGACGGGCAGTTTGAATCAATCTTCAAATCAAGGTTTTGATTCTTTGCTTGTGCTAATTTAGTTATTTGCTTGCTATTATATTTGTGAGTTGTTGGGGGTCCAATTTGCCATCTGTTTTTTTATTTGCTTGGTGCGGAAATGGAGGTGGAGCTGGTGCTGAAAGTAGATGTAGAGCTAGAGCTAGAGCTAGAGCTGGAGGTGGAGCTGGGCGTGGAGGTGGAATTTTTGAACAGTTTCTGGAATTGTGATGATCTCGGTTTCTTGTGGTGTTTGAGGTGGAATGGAATTGTTTGAGGTGGCATTGTAGTATTTTAGAATGGCAAATTAGGTGGAGGTGGAATTGTTTGGACGGTTTGTGGAGGTGGAATTTATTGAACGGTGTCTGGCGGTGTAGGTAATTGTGGTGCTCTCGGTTTCTTGTGGTGTTTGAGGTGGAATGGAATTGTTTGAGGTGGAATTGTTAATAGTATTTTCGAGGGGCGATATGGAGTCTTGTGGTTTGAATTCGATATCCAGTTGCAGTAGATCAGGTTCGTCTTCTGCAGCTAATTGTCAATTGAATTCGAGGGCCAGGCAGCAGAGAAAGCAGAGGAGATGCTGGTCACTTGAATTGCATCGGCGTTTTGTCAATGCTCTGCAACAACTTGGAGGTGAACAAGGTTAGGTCTTGACTAAGTTTTTAAAGATTGCAAAATTTTGGTTCGAAATTGAATCTAAGTTATATAGTAAAAATCAATGGTTCAATGAGAAATATGGAAACAAGGTGCAATTAGAGTGAGGCGTGTGTTTGACTTTATTTCAGTTTATAATTTCCAAACGCTGGCTATATGTGTTCTATGAAGTTGTAGAAAGTTCGATTCGAAAAGCTTTTGAGACCAAGAATTAAACATTTTCTTGTAAATGAGGTTTCCTGATTACACTGGATTCACACTACGAATTTATGCTTAATGCCTGGAAGAGAATCAGAGTACATGTAATGAAATGATATAATGACTTCTTTGAGCTTCTTTTATTGATATCCAAGATGGGTTTTTCTGACTTCATCTCATCGAAAATGGGGGTGATCCCAGGGGAAAAATAAGAACCGGTTCATCGCATAGAGACTAACGCCCTGATATGGGATATCCTCCTTTATATTAGCCTCTAACTTATTCTTAAATTCTTTGCAGTTGCTACTCCTAAGCAGATCAGAGATCTTATGCAAGTTGATGGTCTCACAAATGATGAAGTTAAAAGTCATCTGCAGGTGGGGTTCGAACTTTGATTTAGCATAATTCTCTCTAGTATCCTTTATTTGTAGATGGACCTCGAAAGCTGCGATATGGAGCTTTCCTGGGGTAGTTTCAAATAGACCTAGAGAACTTTGAATTATCATAATTCTTCTTTTTGTCATTTCAGAAATATCGGCTTCATACTTGAAAAGTTCCTCCAACTACAAGCACCTCATCGAATCAACCCGTTGTACTTCGAGGTCAATGGATGTCCCATGATCAGCATGGTGAATCCTTTAAAAAAAGCAATTCCCAGTCGGGTTCTCCTCAGGGTCCTCTACAGTTACCTGGATCGTCTCGAGGGACTTCCATGACCGGAGGGAATAGCATGGAAGATGAAGATGATGAAAAGTCGGAGAGCCACAGCTGGAAAAGTCACATTCACTTGTGTGGAAGAGACGACGCATAGATGTCCACAATGAGTTTTGTAGAAAAAATAGTATACATGGGAGGAGTTATATCACTTATAAACTCAATATATGATACATATATAACTATGATATTTTCTGAGGCGGAATTTTGCAAGATTAGATTTCCTTAGTTTCTGCATGAAGAACTTCAAGTTAATTCCATTTCTTGAAATGATGAACAAAATGGTTTTTCAGTTATTTGAAGGCAAACAATCAAATGTTTGGCTACGATAAGTTAATCTTGTTCTTTGTATTGTTTAATCTTATCGAATCATATTCAGTAATGTATATCTCACATGTCCTATGAAGGGAAGAAAAACCATAGGGCTCGTTTATTTCTTGTCGACTGCTCTCTGTAAATGACCTACAATGGAATCATTCTATAGGTATCCTTCTTGGCCATATGCATGGCTTAAAATATTACTACTTTTTCTTTCGAAACATTGAATTCTTGACACGATAAGAACTTACATGACTTCGTTGATTTATTTTGTATGTAATTTAGTATCTGCTTATGTTGTCATGACACGTGTGGAAACTTCTAATTGTATCGATTGAACTGTTACATCAAATGTAATTTATATTGTGTTTTTAATATCTTGAAAAAAATTTATACGTTTCACCATTTTTCAAATGTATATGTTATTTAATATTATATTTACTCCCTATTTGACACCCATTTTGGAGAAAAAATGAATTTTGAAATAGTGATTGATGGAAGAATATATGGTTAAAAAGTAATGAGAATTTTTGGATTTTTGTGTAGTATTATTTTATTAATATAATGTGTGGTTGAAATGAAGAAAGGGAAAAAAATGAGAATGAGAAGAAAATGTGTGTCAAATGGGGGCTTACATTAAACAATTACAATTTATTGAATAATCAGTTTTTTTGAATAAAATATTATTAAAAAAATTCTCAAAATTTCAAAGTAAACGCGTTTTCCATTTTTATGTTTTCGGAAACTGTTTTTCAGAATGGCAAAAAGAACACATTTTCAGAAATTTCAAAACAGACACTCAAAACACAAAACATAAAACAAATTTGAAACACAAAACTGAAACACGAAGAGAACGACTCCTAAATAACTCAATATTTTGACACATTTGAAGGAAATATCGTTTGTGTACAGAGATCCATATTAAAGTTGAAATGAATTTAATCTCTTTGGATCTAATTCATTCCAACTTTATAAGATGCTCTAGTTGTATATGGTTAAAATCGAAGCATGTTCTTGACTTTTAGTGAAAGTTCATGCTGAACTCAAGTTGGTCTCTCACTTTTTTTTTCCGAATTGGTCACTAAACTTCATAATCCCTTTAATTGATAAAACACAAGACTTTCGACACCAATCGACTCTTTAAATCGCATTTTGCATAGCTGGACTATTTTTGCAGATTGTGCAGCAATAGTCTTACTCCTTTCAACTACCTTTCATCGACTTCCATCACGAGTCTAGACATGACCAGTTGCATATTCTGTTTTTTCCAACAAAGCTTACTAGGGCATAAATACCTGAACGCATCCATGTCGTGCACTGGGTGCCAAGGCACTCGCCTATTTTCAATACATATTTTCTGGCTTGTATACATGATCATGCACAATACACGGTTCCCTGAAAGCATATTCGGGGAAAAAGAGCTCTCCTAACTTCGTCCAAAGCATTAGCATGCCCTACAATGCAATTCTTGTACGCATCAGTTCTTACGGGAAATTTTGCTTAATGATTGTCTTCGTGCCTTTTGTGAATTACAATGCAAATTTTGTACGCATCACTTCCTACGGGCAATATAGCTTAATGCTTGTCTTCATGCCTTTCGTGAGTGGCTAGCCCAAGTAGGGTCATCTACTCGTTCCCACAATAATGATATCTTTCCATACTCCTAATCAGTCAGCCATGTGAAAGCAATAAGTAACATAAAAGAATGAGATCTATTTTCACTCGTGTTTACAACTGGATACATAGATCTAAACATCAAAACTAATGTGAAAACAAAATAATTTGACAAAGTTGAAGGAGAACAAATAAATGCTTCCAAGAAAAAAATATGCAATGCCAAGATCCAAAATCATACTTGAATAATTCAGCTATATCCTTTAAGTTACACCATTTCTGTAATCTTGTTCTCAGTTTCACGATTTTCTTTCCAAGATTTAGCTCAAGCCAATCAAATGAACCGTTAAAGTATACGAAAGAACAAATCTTGAAGTCCAAAAATATAAAGACCTCCTCAAAACAAATAAAAATAACTTGATAGAACAAACCTGATTAGAAAATCAAGAGGATGTCTTTAGTTGAGCAATAGATCGCATCAAATAATAAATATTCACATAAAAAGGTACTAAACTAGTATGAGAAATCTGACCTCCACCACTCATGAAGAGCGAAGCCTTCTTCTGATTGCAACTCAGTTAGAGGCGGAAGGATCGGGCCGTCGAGCTAAATATTTCGTCCGAATTTTGGCCAATATCATAAGGTGCCATTCCGTTTCCATTCGAGAGCGGGTCGGATTCATGATTCCCCTTTTATCGCCATAGTTAAATTTTTTTTCCTGGGTTTCTTACAATAAGCTTTTGCGTGTGGTTTTTTGGCCAATATCATAAGGTGCCATTCCATTGCCATTCGAGAGCGGGACGGATTCAGGATTCCCCTTTTATCGCCGTAGTTAATTTTTTTTTCCTGGGTTTCGTACAATAAGCTTTTGCGTGTGGTTTTCTCTAGAGATCTTGGTACAAATTGAAGAGTATCAGAAAGAAAAATCTTGGTTTGATAGAGATCTACGCCGGGAAAGAGATTAGGTGAAGAAGAAAGGAGAGGCGGAGGAGGAAAAGTTAGGGCTTGTTTTAATGTGGGTGTAGACGTTGTATAAAAATTAAAAATATAACTTTGGCGACATTTTTTAAACGTTGCGAAATAAGCGATTTCGCAACGTTTCGAAAATACTCTTTCGCAACGTTTTTTAAACATTGCAAAAAAGCTTATTTTGCAACGTTTAAAAAACGTTGCAAAAACATAAAAATTTTGCAACAATGAGAAAAGGTTGCAAAAAGGCTACATTAGCCACATTTACTTAAAAAATGTTGCTAAAACTCAATTTTGTTAAGCAATAGCAACATTCACGTATTAGAATGTTGCGATGATCCTTTTAGCAACATTTAACAAGCGAATGTTGCCTTTTATATGTTGCAAATGGTATTTTTTGGTGTAGTGGAAGGAAATCTTGAAATTTAAGGAGGTTCATGCTGATAAATGTTTTCTTCTCATTGCGACGAGCTTTCGTGGCCGAGCAGCGGCATGGTGGCAGCAGACTAAAGTGACGCGATCCAGGTTAGGGAAGTCCAAGTTTGCATCGTGGGATAAATTGAAGAAGCATATGAAGAAGCAGTTTCTGCCCTACAACTATGTTCGGACCATGTACCAGCAACTACAGAATTTGCGTCAAGGTGTAAAAACGGTTAGTGACTATACCACGGAATTTTATATGTTGATTACGAGGAATGAGGTGATGGAGACGAAGAAGCAGTTGGTATCACGATATGTGGGTGGTCTTCGTACCCAAATACAAGACACGCTGAATATGTTTGATCCTGTGACAGTTTCTGAGGCATATCAGAGGGCATTACAGATAGAGAAACAGCAGTCCAGGAGAAATACAGTTCCTTTTACTACAGGCAGTTCTTCCAATAATTCACAGCAGCAGATGACACGTCCTGGTAATCCTACTCAACCTGGCCCTCGTAGACCTAATCCTGCTCAACAACCAATGCGCCCTGGAGGTGGTATTCGTTGTTTTGTATGTGGTGGTACAGGTCATAGACAATATGAATGTCCCAAGAATCCGCGCAGAGGACTCTTTGTTGATGAGAGGTATGAAGTTTATGAAGGTCCACCTGTATTTGATAATGAAGACACCGAGGAAGTCACAGAGGAGGTAGAGTTTGTAGTTGGGTCAAGCGTTCGTGGTGAGGTGGAGCTTTCTGACTCCCCTGGAGAATAACATTGACTGGCTGTGTAATAATATCTTTCAGTTGTCGTGTACTGTTGGGGGAAAAATCTGTAGATTTGTTATTGATTCTGGTAGTTGCGAAAATGTGTGGCTGAAGAGGTCATTAAGAAGCTGAGTTTGCAGACTGAGAAGCATCCCAAACCATATAAATTAACTTGGCTGAAGAGAGGTAACGATGTAGAGGTGTCTCAGCGTGCTCGAATCAGTTTCTCCATTGGGCCTACCTACAAAGATCAGATATTATGTAATGTAGTAGAGATGGATGCGTGCCACTTGCTGTTAGGGAGACCGTGGCAATTTGACCGTCATTCGCTGCATGATGGGTATACCAACACGTACAGCTTTCTGTTTGGAGGTAAGAAGATTGTGTTACTACCGGATAAGGGTTAGTGAAAACAGTTGGGGACAGCGCCAATTTACTGACCAAAGCAAAGTTTGAAACAGAGATGGAGGAGTCTGGGGTCATGTATGTGCTGGTGGGAAAGTCAGTTGACAACGAGCTGACAAGAGAGCCTAAACTCGGTGAATGAAATAGTTGTATTTCTTACCATAAACGACAAAAATGCTTAATCGAGAGCCTAAACGGTGGAATCTGCCCGAAATCCAACGTACGTCATGGCCAAAGTTATGATCCTTAGCCTGTTTCCAATCAAATTAAACTATCAACTCGTCAAAAACGGACAAACCCGAAATTATCATGAAATCATTATTTTGCTTTGCGATCCCACTTCATCATAAATTCTAACTCTTTATGCACTTCATCATTCTCCCCAGGGTGAGAAAAATTCGTCCTCGAATTCGACGGGGAAGAAACCTCATAATCATCAGAATTATCACCACGAAATGGCACCAGATAATTGACATTAAACACGTCGAATGTGCGAATATGACTTAGCGGCTTTAAACGATAAGCATTTGGACCAATCTTCTCAATGACTTCCAATGGACCAATCTTCTTGGCAGTAAGCTTGTTGTATTCATGAGCAGAGATACTATCTTTTGTCAACACAGCCCAAACTCACTTTCAGTCTGCTATTAAACTTGACATTATTGTGAATTGACAACTTTTTATACGTTGATTTTTAAAATATTTTAAACAATCAATATCACAAATTTTGACACATCTTGAAATGACAAATTTTATGTATACAAACAACGTACAAGTAGTTTAATTCTAGTTTATTTTAATTATTATAGTTTCCAAGTTTGAATGAAATTAGATTATTGTTTTATAGATATTTAGTTTGACTAAATTAGGGTTTATTTACTTTGTTTCCTTCTCAAATAGGTTTGTTTAGATTACACAGAAACTTGCCTATTCATTGTTTTATGTAGACTTTTATATTGTAAAAGAAATTATATATTCTCCCCTTTCTTCTCTCTTTCCCTCCCTCTTGTTCTCTTTCTCCTCTCCCTTCATCTTCATTTCTCAATCTTTTTCTTGTTCGTGAGATCCTAAGTCACCAGCTTACTTCATTCCTTTGCGGATAAATTGATCCGAAAGAGTCTAGCTTATGAAGCCACGGGTCAATATAGACATGGATCAGCTCTTCATCCCTCCACACGCCATCTCATTCCAGCTTGTCGCAGTTCACGTCCCCAAATTACACTGCTTAAAGGAAAGAAGCCCCAGTAGGAATTCTAGCACGAAGAATACTCTTCTTGTATATAGTATTTTCCTTTTAACAGACTTGCGGCTACAGAAAAGGGAATAATAAATATCCCCACCCTTGTGTAGCCAAAAGAAATTGGTTAAAAATTTTCAAATCTCTCAATCCAAGTCCACCTGCACCCTTTGGCCTACATAACTTCGACCACTCAACCCATGCCACTCCACGCTTCGTATCACTCCGCCCCCATGAGATCCTTCTGATTAAAGATGGGATATCAGCACACGGAGTGACTGGAACCCTGAATATACTCATCGTGTAAGTGGGAATAGATTGCATCAAAGCCTTAACAAGAATTTCTCAACCCCAAGCCAAAAACAACCCCCTGCGCCTACGTCTAACCCTTTTCTAGATTCTCTTTGTAATCTGTAACTCACTTGTTAATCACAGGACACAAAGATTGTGACTTTGTATCAAAAGTGAAAATAAAACACAAGCATAAACACGTCAAATAATGTAACAGCTCATGATAACATTTATGCTCTAAATTACTTGTTTCATAGAAGAAGATCGAACTTTAAAGGGAAACAAAACATAAACATTCGATACATAAAATTAAGACAGACATTTATCCTTTATTTTTTCAAACATTATTCAAACCAGTCCTCACGAAAATTAAAAAAGAAATATATATTGAGCAATACAATTATAGGTTGAAGAAAGTTCACGTGTGTGTATATGTATGAAGCTGTTTTCTATCGTTAATACCGACGAAAGAATGGCCAAACGGAAAATTTCATCATCCCATTTTTGCAATGAAATCCGTTGCGTTCACCACAAGCAAAATAATAAGGTTGCCATCTCTTAAGCACAAACTCAAAACCTTCTCCTCCTCCTTGTGTCACTTGTGCAATCTTCTGTGCTCTTCTCAAATCACAGTTTTGGAAACTCCAGAAATTTGGCAGCAGATAAACACTGTGAGGAAATGTGGTGTCGTTTGGGGGATCAAACTTGAATACTGCATGCATGCAACAGATCAGTATCAGTCACTTAGCTATTGGAAACAAGAATAAAGATATAAGAGCTCGAGTTATTCATCCTAACGAAGTTAACCTTCTAACATGGATTTATTATTCGACAATAATCTAACTCTGTACGTATTAAATAACTGACATCTCATTATTTAAAATGTAAACTCGACAATGAAATGGCAACATACCAAGTGTGTCGTTCAAGTAAAAGGGGCCATTTCTGATAGCCCAATCAGTATAATTAAACCCAAAATGCCAATTCTCGGAACCGCCAACAATTATTCTTTTCGAAGTTTGATCTGCATTCCAGTGTCCATAAGGCCAGCCTGCAGTGTGATTCCAGTTTCCATTCCAATCTGCACTGAAATTCTTGTTGGCCATTCCAATGCTAAACATGGATATGGCCACAAGAATCGCAAGGGCTCCTGCATTTCCCAAACCCATGTTATTTTTTCCTCTATGGTAAATGTACTTCTTTAATGAGAGCTTACTTCTTTAATGGGAGTTTACAGGAGTAAATTTGACGTGTTGATGTATTGAAGAGATAGTATGAGCATTTTATAGTAAAAGTTTGTTGGAATTAAGTCAAAATACATGTAAGTTGGAAGAAATCGGACAAAAATCCTCTCTCTCTTAAGTTGGTTGGTAAGACTGAAAATTATTAATGTAAAAGGTTGAAATTTTGAAGTGTTTTTTCTTACATTTTCCAGGCCAACATCCACTTAGGTTGCAATTAATCCTATTTAGTATATATTAAGAATCCTCCATTTACCTACTTCAATTAAATATGACAATTAATTCTTCTTCTTCGGGGGAAGATCATATGGTTAGATTCATTGCATAAATTTAATCTTGTTAATATTTTCGGGATTCGTTATTTAATCTAAATAATACAAAGTGATGAAATTATTTGTACCAACAAAAAAAGGGGTTGAGTCATGTAGTGTGACAGAAATTTAACTTGAATTGTTCTAGAGAATTGCTCGAACGGAGATTTAAAATTACTATTGATCGGAGGAAACCTTGAAACATACTCATCTTTGATGTAGATAAAATTTACTAGAATTTTCAAGTGAAATTCAATAATTAATTTTTACCACACATTTCATGAGATCCATAATTTTTCAATTACATATTTTATCAAATTTTATTAAAATCTACAAAAAATTGCTGTTTATATGTATAAAATCGTAAGAACTTGATCAAAATGAGTTTAAGATATACATAAGATGTGAATTGATAATAAATAAACAATAAATTAAGTTTTTATTCTTAATGAATTAAAGATAAACTGTGTTACGCCTCGCCACCGAGGTTTCTATAAGAAGCCATGCCGCAGTCCACGTGGAGACATGAGTTAAATCTAACAAAGTCCTAATTGGTCAAAATGTAGAAGTCAAAGAAGAAACCGATCTCACTGTTCCGAAACTCTTATATGGCTGAAACCATATCTCTACCCGAAGCTCTTTTAGACCGAAGCACCCTCCTCATCCGACACTCTCTTTTAAGGCTAAAGTACTTGCCGTCTTTGAAGGGATCTGCAGACGATGTCTATAAATAATTGATGTAATGTTTATATTAATAAATGTCAGCTCTATTAGCTTAAGATGTAGGGCGGCGACTCGTTATCAATGAATTAAATGCATAACAGATGAAGTGATGTGAGGTTTAGATCTGGGAGATGAGACCACGTGGTTCTAATCCAACGATTACCACGTAGGTTAGAACTTATAAATATGCGACTCCTATAATTCACTTAAAAAAGAGCAAATCTTTATAATTAAAAATACATTCGATTTTCTCTCTTATTCATTCTATATTATTTGCTTGAGTTTAGTTTGTTCTTATTTTGGTTAAGTTGTTTGCGATTGTTTGTTTATGTGCAATCTCCTTTGATCATATTATTGGTGTTCGAATATTTTTGTCTCATGCCATAAAAGTATCTTTCACGTCCATAAACACCACTTCTTTCTGTCCGGGTCTCATGTTCAAACGTGTTAAAATTTGTTTGCGTGAACGAGAGTGAGCACGGCATCTATTGTCCTACAAAAACCAAGGTCAATAGACTACTTTTATTTTTATTTTTTGCTATTCTATTCCGGTTGGAAGAAGGATTTAATTCTAGAATTTGCTAATTGGGTTGGTTAATTCACAAGAGTTTGGCCTGGAATTCTAGCCATCTTTTTTTTTTTTTAGTTAAAAGAGTTGGGGCCTTTAAAAAAAGTCAAATAAAGTGTGTTTTCAATATAAGCATGTCAAAGGCGGCAGTAATTCATCATTGCGCGGGAAATAACACGGAAGTATTGCATTTCTACCTGAAAATGGATGATATCGGAGTGACGTAATGTTGACGTCAATATGGAGATTTTCAAGAATTAAGTTTGTTTATAAATATTTTTGAGAATTAGATTGCAAAATTGTAGTCTATTTAGAAATTTTGAGATAATTTTTTTTTTTTTGATTAATTTAGTGCCGTGTTTTGCTTTGTACGGTGTTGATATTGTATCTATAACACCAAGAAAAATAATATATCTATCTACAAAAGTTAAAAGAACTCCATATTTTGACACATTTGACGGAAACATCGTTTGTGTACAGAATTCTTTTGTAAGATCAAGATTAAAGTTGAAATGAATTTAACCTCTTTGGATTCTATCAAATTTATTTCAACTTTAATCTCTTCGCGGATCCAAATTCATTTCAAATGTATAAGATCCTCTAGTTGCATATGATTAAAATCAAAGCACGTTGCTTAACTTTCAAGGAAAGTTCATGTTGAACATTCAAGTTGGGTTTTATTTTGTTTTTCGAATTGGTCACTAAATTTAAATAATTGCTAAATCTTAATTTCATCCATATTCATTAATTTGATTGCTGAAATAATACATCAATCTAACTAGCAAATAACTAGACCATCTCATCACATTATTAAGTCAAATTAATTGTGGCCAACTTAAAACAAAGTTTAAATTCAGTGTCCACGATAGAACCATTTGAACGTAAATTTTAGATAAAAGATTTTGTGACAATGTGTTGGGAAAATATTTAGACCAAAACGTTCAAAATTAATCAATAACAAACAACAAGTCACTTAATTATTGTTTTTAGGTTATTAAGTTTAAAATCAATTAAAATTCTAAATTAAACAATCACAAAAACATTCAGATCAAAATCGACAGGGGAAATAACACCAGGTATGATTACGGAGGAAAACACCTTCTCAGGATAAAAAAAAAACTCCGAACAAACTTATCAATAAAATTCAAATTCACTAGAAATGTTAACTTACAATTAGTCCAGATACCCCTAAACATTAGCTGACTCAGTCCACCTAAGTTGTAAATCATCAAGGAACTCCTTTGATTGAGGATCACCAAGAACGAAATTGTTTCGAAGCGCTGGAATTCCAAGAGCCTCTTCTCCCAACTTCAGAATTCTGAAAGCTTATAAACGAAGGTAGAGTTTTGGCGTTTGATCAAGGATCTTTCTATGTTTTGATATGTGGTTGATGCAAGAAATATATGGATATATATTTGATCTTCAAAGAATGTTCTCTTGACTAAATGTAAGCCTCAACCAATAATAATATGTTTATGATGAATTTATGAATCAATGATCTTGGCGTTGAATCAAGAAATCAAAGGATTATGTTTTGGATATTCAACAATGTGATTTCTAATGTAAAATTATGATTCAACACACATTTGGGATGGACTAGGCTTGGTTATATATAATATGAAGAGTTTTAGGTTGAATAGGATTAGAAAATAGACTGAAAATCACGAATAGAATTTTCCCAGAAACATACACCGCTCTAGCACCGAGTCTTGTGCCTAGCGAGCAGTCGGTCTATCGCTCAAGCACCAACAAGCGGCTACATTCCTATTTTTGATTGCTCGAGCGCTCAACACGCGATCATCAGTCGATTTTGAAGCAACTTTTTCTCCTTAGTCTATATTGATATCTTTAACTCCTTCAAAGACTAGATTAACAACCCCCAATTATTTTGATTTTAATTACAACTCAAAAACTTATGATTTTGAATATGAAAATTGCCAATTATAAATTTAGAAATTATTAATTACAAACTTAGACCTAACACAATGAGTGTATTAACCCAACTACAATAAATGAGACAAAAGTCTTGAGCTTGCCAAGTATCTGCAAACATTCCTTATCCAAGGCGTATTTGAATTCTACAAAGGGAAAAATTCATAAATAAGGTGTATTCTTTACACCAATTCAAAAATAAGGTTTATAATTTGAAACTTCAAAAATCAAGTTTTTTTTTTTTTTTTTATTCTAATATAATATAATAAACCCACCCCACATGCACCACCCCCCTGCTCCGGTGACTATTTCGACGACCATTCCAACCACCACTCTTCTCCGGCTCCGATTCCGGCGACCATTCCGGCGAGGTCACAGATTTTTAAAGAGTCACGTATTATTATAGTCACCGGTCACATTTTGGTCACAGATTTACAATTTAGTTAGTCACATATTATTTTTCAGTCACGGATAATAATTTTTATACGTCACATATTATTTTACGGTCACAGTTCAAAAATTTTGTAGGTCACAATTATTTCTTTG